GCATGTCACTAGAGTCCATGCTTTGCCTACAGAATCTTGCAGGCTTCCAGTTGGCCAATGTGAAAACAGGATGTTGGATGAGGGGGATCTTTGGCCAGAGCCAGCAGGCATTTTGCTAACATCTTGAAAATAATCACAGATAGGGTTTTCTGAACGCTGCGTGAAATGCTTCCCAATGCATTTTTTATTATTATTATTCTCTGAAGACTCCTGGAAGGTTTCTTGGAGGCATGTGCAAAATGGTGCAAAACCTAAAGGCCAGGGAGGGAGACAACAGCCCTCGGGTCACCTTAGAAAATGAACATCTTACACTCTTAAAGATTAAATAGCAGCAGGAAATAAGGAGAAAATAACTCTTTCTAGGTTGTCTGGTTTTATCAGGGCACTCAACTGCACAGTGGGGTGGGAAGAGAATTCACTTTAAACAAATTTTATCGCCAGGCAACACCGCTGTTGAGACCAATGGCAGAAAAAATAAATAAAAGGAAGGAGACTGCTGTTTTAATTTAATGCTGGGGAATAATGCCTGGGTAGTTCAGTTCTCCCAGCCCAGTTACTCTCCTTGTTCACCAATGGCAACTGCAATGAAAGGACTACCGGCTCATTTCTAATAAAAAATGAAGGGAGGATGCTCTGCTTATGCGTTGAACTTGCTGTCTGCAAAAGGTTCACTTACTATTCACAATGTAAACCATCCCTGGATGCTGAGTGTTTGGAATACAGATTTAAAACGCTGCTCTTCTTCTTGAAAACATATGTTGTCCATGGGAAAAGCATACCTGCTAACACTGGAACATTATAAAAGGATACACTGAAGCTGCGGGCATTTAGCTGGGGGAAGAGAGACCAAAGACAATCCTGTTAAATTAAATATAAATACATGGAAAGTGTTGTTGTTTTTTCCAGAGGGACTTAAAAGCAGAGAGAGAAATTTTGCTAAAAATGAAGGAGCTTGTTTTTCAGAACTTGGACAATCTGGCAGGTTTACAAAGGCTTAATTATTGAGCTATGTGATGCCTGGCACTTCTCATGGAGCTTTTGAAAAAAAAAGTTTTATGGATAGTTGTTAAATTTATTTTGCAGCCTGAAGGTGAAGGGCAGTTATCCTAGCATATAAGCTGTTTCCAGTCATAGTGGGCAGTGGCTGTACAGAGCAGCCTTTCAGTGTGTGTGTGTGTGTGTGTGTGCGTGTTCTTTATTAAAAATAAAATGTGCATAATTACAAGTGTACTGAGGAAGATAAGACACCAAAAGAGAGAGAGAGAGAGAGAGAGAGAAAGAAAGAAAGAAAGAAAGAAAGAAAGAAAGAAAGAAAGAAAGAAAGAAGAGTTTGGATTTGATATCCCGCCTTTCACTCCCTTTAAGGAGTCTCAAAGCGGCTAACATTCTCCTTTCCCTTCCTCCCCCACAACAAACACTCTGTGAGGTGAGTGGGGCTGAGAGACTTCAAAGAAGTGTGACTGGCCCAAGGTCACCCAGCAGCTGCATGTGGAGGAGTGGAGACGCGAACCCGGTTCCCCAGGTTACGAGTCTACCGCTCTTAACCACTACACCACAGAAAGAAAGAAAGACACATATCCAGGTAGAAAACAAAACAGAACAAAACAAAACAAAAAGAAATTTGATACATTACGAAAAACAGGGGGGAAATGTAATTGTAGCTATTGTTATTTCTAGTCGTAGTGGGCACTGGCTGGGCAGAGCAAATGTCATTTGGCTGAGCTATGTCAGGTGCTTTTCAAACATCAGCACAGTGAACAACCATTGGAGGACCCCGTGCCAGATCTGTGCCCTGAGAAATACCAATTGGGCTCACCAGCCTACAGGAAAGAGAGAAGTGCAGAACATGGTTTGGCAATGTGAATCATGGGTGGGGATTGAAGAACGGGGGAAATGGATTCAGTTCACAGTTAAAGGTGAATCTTCGTAATCTACAGGAACGTGAACTGAAACACAGGTAGCCTCCAATTTCGCATGTCTCTGAATTTTGCAGTGCATTACTCCAGCCCAGCAGTGGGCGTATGCTATGCATCTACTAGGGCATAGTGTGCGTAGAAAAACACATACCCATGAAAATAATGCACAAATGCTCATTATATTAGAAGAATTGTGCTGCAAAATGTGTGTATTAGGCAAAAATTGCATATGCAGTCCTTTTCAAAATCCACCAGCATTTTAGAGTTCATTTGTTCTAATATACACACAGTCCCTTTCTCTTTATAGCATCTCGCATCCATCTTTATATATACGCCTCTTCAAGTTCTCCCCATTGCTTTCTGTTGCTTCTTTACGTAACGGTTACTGAATTTAGGATTAGAAAAATGAGAAATGGAGAGAAACCACTCCTTAAAGCACCCATCTCATAAAGATAATGGATGCTATATTCTTTCAGCGTTCTCTGCTGTGGTGGACATCAACTGCCTGCCTTGCCTCAGAGGCATCTTGTAAAGATGTTAAAGTTTTGTAACTGCTACACCTACTTGAGATGCGGGTCGGGACCTGGGAGTTTGCGTGCGGGGGAATAAACATCCTCTTCCCTCCTCTCCCATTTCTAACTGAGCTGCTCCATCGGTCACATGGAACTCAAAGAAGATGGGAAGCTGATCACATCACAAGCCGTCTCTGATCTGACAATTTCGCCCTAAGGGAAACTTTGTGTTTCTTTTCATTGTAATGGGCTGCATATGTGGGCACGAATATTTTCTTTCTTGTGAGTGAAGCCAATTAATTTTCTTTTTTAAGTTCCAAAGCTCCTCCATGGAGCCGCTTTGGGGACTGAGTGCAGCTCCTTGTTGAGTCATAGCAAACAAGAACCCACAGCTTGTGTTAAACTCCGCTGACAAAAACTGCCCTGTAGTTTTCAGTGTGAACCAGTCCTTAGACTGTTGTTTTAGGAACACAGGAAGTTGCTTTATACTGATCAGACCATTGGTCTGACTAGCTCAGTATTTCCCTCACTGACAGACAGAAGATCTCCAGAATATCAACCCTACTTGGAGCTGTCAAGTGTTGAATCTGGGACTTTTTACATTGGACAGCACTGATCTCTCCCTTCCTCTGCCAATCATTACACACTTTGGCTGAAGCTACACACAGGGTGATTGTTTCATCCTTATGCGACGGTCACCTCCAGGCTTGACTACTGTAATTCGCTCTATGCGGGGCTGCCCTTGAAGCTGTCCCAGAAACTCCAGCAGGTGCAGAATGCTGCAGCGAGGCTCCTCACGGGGTCTCTGCCATGGGAGCATATTCACCCAGTGCTTTTCCAGCTGCACTGGCTCCCGGTGGAGTACAGGGTCAGATTTAAGGTGCTGCTTTTGACCTTTAAAGCCCTTCACGGCCTAGGACCCTCATACCTACGGGACCGCCTCTCCTGGTATGCCCCACGGAGAGCCTCAAGGTCCATAAATGGCAACACCCTAGTGGTCCCAGGCCCTAAGGAAGTTAGATTAGCTTCAACCAGAGCCAGGGCCTTTTCAACTCTGGCTCCAGCCTGGTGGAATACTCTGCCTCATGAGACCAGGGCCCTGCAGGATCTGATTTCTTTCCGCAGGGCCTATAAGACAGAGTTGTTCCGCCTGGCCTTTGGCTTGGAGACAATTTTATTCCCTCCCCCTCTTTCTTTTTTCTTTTTCTTTTCCTTTCTCCTCCTACGATGAGGCTACATTTTAATATTTTAAAGTTTCAATATTTTAATGTTGTATTTTAATTTTGTTTTTAAGTTGTATTCATTCAACTTGTTTTTATTATTGCTTGTTAGCCACCCTGAGCCTGGCCTTGGCTGGGGAGGGCGGGGTATAAATAAAAATTATTATTATTATTATTATTATTATTATTATTATTATAAAGAAAAACAGCCATTTTTAAGCAGAGTACTAGCAGAGGGTGGCAGGTGCTACTTCACCCTTTCCTTTCTGCCTCTTTTCCATTCAAAATAGCTCTCTCTCCCAGCTGTCTTTCTTCCCATTTCTTCATTCCTAAAGATGGGGTCACAGCTGGGAGAGGGGCAATTTTGAACAGAAGACAGCCAAAGCAAAAGGGCTTTAAGCAACAGTGCCCAACATCTGCCACTACAGCAGCAACCAAGGCTGATTGTGGTTTTTTAAAAAAGCATAAGTTGGGGAAAATGCACAAATTCACCCTTTGCTGCCTAAGTTCACCGCTAACCATCTCATTGCAATATTGCTTCCCTTGCCTCACGAAACCTCCCAAATTGGTACAACAATCACATTGGTGTTCTGAACAAGTGCATGGTGGGAAGAGAGCAGGTGCCACTACCACCCACCCAGCACACATGCCAGCGCATGTCTACAACATGCCTACACATATATGTGATTGGGAACAGTGCGCCATTGGAAACTTTGCAAAGACATGATTCCCAAGAATGGGGAGAAGTGCCTGCACTTATGTGACCAACCGGTCATCGACACATTGCAGATGTGTCCTGGAACATGTGCAGCAGGAGACACATCCTATTAGGTTACATCTGCACCATACATTTAAGGCACTCTTGCACCACAGTTGTGGCTTCCCTTTCCCATGAAAGGAAGAACTCTAGGAACTGTGGATTATTAAGGGTTCTGACCCTCATAGAGCTAAAATTCCCTGCAACCTTAAACCAACTACAGCTCCCATGATTCTTTGGGGTAATTCATGACTGTAAAAGTGGTACAGTGGTACCTCTGGTTACATACTTAATTCTTTCCGGAGGTCTGTTCTTAACCTGAAACTGTTCTTAACCTGAAGCACTACTTTAGCTAATGGGGCCTCCCGCTGCTGCCACACCACCGCCGCGCGATTTGTGTTCTCATCCTGGAGCAAAGTTCTTAACCTGAGGTACTATTTCTGGGTTAGCGGAGTCTGTAACCTGAAGCGTATGTAACCTGAAGTGTATGTAACCCAAGGTACCACTGTATAAGAGTGCTTTAAACTCTTATGTGAGTGAGTGGTTTGAGTGTGACCCTAGTGTATTCATTCAATACAGAGCCCCAAGCTGCAGAAGGGTTGTAGCTGAGTGGAAGAGCACCTGCCTTGCATGCCGAAGAGCCCAGGTTCAATCCCCGCCATCTCCAGGCAAGGGAGGGGATGCTTTCAGTACCTTGGAGAGCTCCTACCAATCAGTTGTGGACAACACTAAACTAGATGAACCAACAGCTTGATTCAGTGCATGTTAATTTTCTATGCTCTTTCTGCGTTCCTAATCTAAACGTTTGAGAGGCGACATAGTCATTCGCACATATAAACTATACACAAGTAGATGGGATGTTTTCTTTATTGTTGCTGATTTTGTGACAGATTTTGGACTGGGAAACTGATGCGTTTCTTCTTGATTTCTTCTTTCACAGGCAGTGAAGGTTCTGGAGAAACCATTCAAAAGGAAACATCCACCTGTGACATTTGCCAATTCGGGGCAGAGTGCGATGAAGATGCAGAAGATGTTTGGTATGGTAACATGCATTCATTATCGATTTATTTGTCTTGAAAAGCTTGATTTCCCCTCATAATTCTTTTTCTTCCAAATTCCTCTCCTTGAAATGTAGCTAAGGTTGTACTGTTTCAGTTGTGGTGAAAAACTCAAATGTGTTTCTTGAGTATAACAGACTCCAAAAAGTTCTTTTGTTTTTTAAAAAAAGAGAATGCAGAGATAGAAACAAATTTCTCCCACTCACACCTGAAATCTGATTATTTATCATTCATTTACACTGTTTTAATGGGATGAGGCTGCAAGCTTCAAACAGCGCTGAGGCTGGAGTTGGACAGCGATTGTTAAAGAGAGTTGAAGGTGGTACGATAAAAGTCATCATTTCACATTTCCTTTTCACCTTTTCAGCCTCCAGTCAAACAGGTTAAGCGGGTTTTTCACGCACTCCGAGCTATTTAAAGCGGATTATCTTCTGTCTTTAGCCTTCCCTTATAAAAGTGGCTAAGAGGGCATTTAGACATGGATAATATTACTTTAGTTTTCCAGATTATAATATTACCTTAGTTTTCCACGTTGTTCTGTTCCTTTCACACTGCGGTAACTGTTGTGTTATGAAACGGCAGCTTTTTGATACTGGCATATCACACTAAATTTCTTTCACACCAGTGGGCATGGTGTGACACAACAAGGAGCATTGTTGGACAATGTTACAATGTTGCTACTCCCTCACCCTTTCCACACATCTGTGCTTCTGTTCCCCTATGGAAACAGCTTAAAGTTAAATAATTATCTAGGGGATAAGGGTTCATCAGGAAAGACCTGGTTATGTTTAGAATGATACTGCATAGGGAAATGTTCCCTGATACCAAGATGAGGGATTCTATGGAATGCAGATAGAGAGAATTGATAAGAATAATGATCTGTTGTGACCTTGACGGAAGCGTACAATAGATCGGCCTTCTTGTGTTTTGGCTCATCTTCCTCTCTTTTTTCTTTTTTTCTCTCTTTTTTTCTTCTTTTCCTCCTCCTCCCCCTTTTCTTTTTTCTTTTTTCTTTCCCATAATGGCTTATGTTCTATGCCATGTACTTAGAATTTTTTGTATTTTTTGAGCTTTTTTCACCATCATTATTATTAAGGAATTTTCTTTTGTAATTTTGATTGTCTATATTTATTTCTATTTGTTTAAAGCAAAATAAAAGTATTTTTGAAAAAGAAAACAGCTAGAAAGAACTGTGTGCCAGTATACTGCCCCAAATGTTGTCCCGTCATTCCCGCAATTTTTGGGGTTGCTGTGGGGTGGGGAGAGATGCAAACAGATTTTCTCTGCAATCGGTTAATATGGAAATGAGGGGGCAGGGGGCGGGAAGAGAGCGAGAGAAAGTGGTGCAGTAGTGGTGGGCATCAAAAGCTGGCATCAGCCCTGCTCCCATAGTGACAATCACTGTGAGACTACAGGAATGAATGCCCCAGACTCATCCCTCTACCACAGTGTTTCTCAACCTGTGGGTCTCCAGATATTGTTGGACTACAACTCCCATCATTCCTAGGAAGCATGACCAGTGGTCAGGGATGATGGGAGTTGTAGTCCAACAACATCTGGGGACCCATGGGTTGAGAACCGCCTTGGATGCTGGGGGAGAAAGGCAAGCCAGATGTTCCCAGCAGATGTAGCTGGGCTGTTAATGATTTCGAAGAACAAATAACATTATTCTGATTGGGTACAGTCTGCTCCTTTCTGCAGCCTCCCCTTCCCCCATTCAAACCCTTCTCTGTGTCTGCTGCCAAATCCCGCTCGGCAAAATGAATACTCACTGCTGTTGTCGCTATTAATTATAATTGCCTTACTTTGATACATTTTGCTGCATTAGCCACTCGGAGTGCAGGACTCTTGACATTCACGTTTGCATGGTGGTGCAGACAGGAGCTTGTTTAGTTGCAGAAGAGAAGAAAGAGCACCCTATTATAGGAAAAAAGGAAGGAGGGTTGTGTGGGTCAACCAGACCTTCTGTAGTTTGTACATTCTACTCTGGTTGTGGGATGTAGTGATGAGATGGGCCTTTCCACAGTTCAGCCTCCATCCAGTCCAAAATGAGCCTTCTCCAAGAGTCTCTGATGTACCCTTTTTGGTGCCTGCTGAAAACATTTTTGTTTAGACAGGCCTACCCAGATACAGGTGGCGCTGTGGTCTAAACCACTGAGCCTCTTGGGCTTGCCAGTCAGAAGGTTGGCGGTTCAAATCCCCATGACGGGGTGAGCTCCCATTGCTCTGTCCCAGCTCCTGCCAACCTAGCAGTTCGAAAGCACACCAGTGCAAGTAGATAAATACTTGCATAATCGGCCTAAAAGCGAGATGAGCGCCACAACCCCATAGTCACCTTGAACTGGACTTAACCATCCAGGGCTCCTTTACCTTTTACCTACCCAGATATTTAGAAAGTCAGTGTGAGTTTTAACCTGTTTTTAGTTTTCTGCTATCTTAACTTTTTGAAAGTCTAAAATTATTGTTGATCATTCCTCTTATTGATAATGTTGCTGCTTTTTTTTTTCTGTGAACCACTTTGAGCTCTCTCTCTTTTTACACTCGAGCAGCGTATAATTTTAATGAAATAAATCAATAAAAATAAATGGCATGGAGCATAGGAAGAACCCATCTAAGCCAACATTGTCTTCTTGTGATGGCTAACCCAAATGCCTATGGGAAGCCCATAAGTGGGACTTGACAGCACCCTTCTCTCATGTGTTTCCCTTGTCTTTGGAGGCACACTGCTTCCAACAGAGGAGAGAAAAACATAGCCATTGAAAACTTGTAGGCATTGATAGCCTTATCCTCCATGAATCTCCAAGAAATGGAGGACGGGATAATACCCCCCTGCTGCCTAAAGGGAGAGAAATCACATGAACCAGGTGGCTACTCAATTGAGCAATCAGTTCTTACTGTGAAAATTATCTGGGGTGCTCTGTTACCTGTATCGACTAGCTGTTTCTCGAAAGGAGTGTTTCAAACGTAAACTGAATTTAAAAACTGGGAAGAATAAGTTACTTCAATCTTTCAGTGCATCGCCCCTACCCCATGCCACCCAAAATTGCAATAATTTCCATGAAGACTTTACTATGTGAAGGGATAGTATACTTAGTGTATGCTTTTTGTGGCAAACCTGGGTTTGCTTCTATGGAATGGGTTTGCTTCTATAAAATGAGGGTGCCTGGCTTACTAGAAATACATGTGAAAAGGATCTAGGGGTCTTGGTGGGCTCCAAGATTAAGATGAGTCAACAGTGTGATGCAGCAGGAAAGAAAAGGGTACAGTGGGACCTTGTATTTCGAGCATCTCGGAAGCCAAACAATTTGGAACCTGAATTCTGAAAACCCTGATGTAATTGCTTCCATTTTCGAATGCGCCTCTGAAGCCGAGGCATGTTTTTCATTTTCCCTCATTGACTTCACAGCCAGCCCATTGATCTTCGGTTTTTGAACATTCTGGAAGTCGAATGGTCTTCCAGAACTGATTACGTACAAAAACCGAGGCTCCACTGTAATGCTATAGGGTCCAGATCAAGGGAAGGAACAGTACTGCTCTATTCTGCCTTGGTCAGACCACACCTGGAGTACTGTGTCCAGTTCTGGGCACCACAATTTAAGAAGGATGTTGACAAACTGGAACATGTGCAGAGGAGGGCAACCGAGATGATCAGGGGTCTGGAAACCAAGCCTTATGAGGAGTGCTTGAAGGAGCTGGGTATGTTTAGCCTGGAAAAGAGGAGACTGAGAGGAGATATGATAGCCATCTTCAAATATCTCAAGGGCTGTCATGTGGAAGCGGGAACAAGCTTCTCTCTCCTGCTGTGGAGGGTAGGCCTCGAACCAATGGTTTCAAGTTACAAGAAAGGAGATTCCGACAAAACATCAGGAATAACTTTCTGACAGTAAGAACTCTTTGACAGGGCAACAGATTCCCGCAGGAGGCTGTGAACTCTCCTTACTTGGAGGTTTTTAAGCAGAGACTGGATGGCCATCTGTCATGGATGTTTTAGCTGAAATTCCTGCATTGCTGGGGGTTGGACTAGATGACTCTTGGCTTCCCTTCCATCTCTACAATTCTATGATTCTAAGTGGCCCTTAACAATATTCCATGTTTCCACTCTGATTCCGTACTGGAAGCAGTAACTCCAAGCTGCAGAGGATTAGCACATTTTCCTTACTTCTTTTTCAAAATGTGAATATGTGTGTATGTGTGTGGGAAGGCGCCCACCCAGCCATGCACACCCACGGTTTAGCATTCCATTAGTGACGATCCTTCACTCTGTTAAAAAACAAAGGCTATTCAGTTTAAAGTCTTTAACGTCTTGCTTCTTTTAATCTGCAAAAGCTCCTTGTCTCCAAAAGAGGATCATATATTACTGGCATTATTCCTACCTTTAATGCATTTTGCACCAGAGTAGGCTTCATGAATATTTGAAGCAAGCCAGTGGCTGTGCCCATTTATTAAGCTCTCGATTGCGATCTATCGGTAAATCGGGCATTCACTTGTCGCTCGCTTTGGGGCTTTATTTCTGAGCTTGCTAAGAAAACAATTGACTCGGGATGACAGGGAGTGATTCATTGTAACGCCCCTGATAAAAGCACACATGCACAAAAAGGCAAGAGGAGCATTAAGGCTTTGAGCAGGGAGGCGCATTTCAGAGATCATCCCTTCACATGTGCATGTACAGACACACACACACTCTCTCTCAATTTTTAAAGCATCTCAGAGCTCTCAGGGAGGGTATAAATAGAACATATCAAAGGGAGAGCCCTTTCATTTTGCAAAGTGGCTTAATGTCAGCTCATGAGCGTGTCAAAAAGTCCTAGACTTGTTTTGTTACAGGTCAACAAGAGTGGAAGCTCTTCTTCCTCTGGACTACTTGTAATCTATAAAGATGGCAGAAGCTCTTCAGAGTTGAAGTAGCTTGATATAACACATGAAAATGCTCTTTTATTTAAAGGGAAAATGAGAGAAGTTGGTGTTATCTTCAGATAAAGGTTAACCTTTTGAAAAACCTCCCCTTTCTAGCATATGCAGAAGGATCAAAAACTTGCAGTCCTTTTGCATTCATAATTACTGTGTGATCTGTTACTTTTTTTAAAAAAGGAGAGTTTGAGTGCTACAGCAAAGAATACTTATTATTCTTATTATATATGAATATGGAATTTGTAATTATGTCAGCTACTAAAGTAAGTGTTGATAGCTTTGCGTTAGCGTGCTGTCAGCTGTCTGCACTCACATTTTGTGGCTTCCAAGCTTCTGCTTATTTGCAGAAGAATAAATACATATCTTCTCTTTTTAAGTTGCATCCTTTCTTTTAAGGTATTATTAATTAATTAATTGATTGATTGATTGATTGATTGATGCCCTGCCCATCTGGCTGAGTTTCCCCAGCCACTCTGGGGAATTTTAATGAATATTGGGAATATTAATGAATGACAATATCAGCATCGTAGCTGATGTCACTTGAACTCTTGGTACACGTGGCAATTTGATGTGCATAACCTTCCTTGGAACCTTGGAGCATTGGGGCTTTTGTTTGCATTTTGTTTTTGGAATGGAAATAAATAAACATCACTCTTAACAAATCCCCATTTGGCCATAATGCTCACTGGGTGACCTTGGGCCAGTCACTGCCTCTCAACCTACCTCACTGGGTTTTTGTGGGGATTGAATGAGGAGGAGAGAGAAACACGAACATGTATCAGTGCTATTTTTCTAGAAGCAGAGGTACCAAAACTCACCACTGAGGCCTCCCTTGTTCTCTTTTTATGGCTATGACGCCCACGTGAGAGAAGTTGGAATTGAATTCCCGCAAGTTCTGGTTGGGAAAAATAGCCCTGCATGTACTCCACCTTCAAGCTTCTTGGAGAACAGGATGAGACATAAATGAAATAGATAAATTGATAAATTGTTGTTGTTGTTTAGTCGTTTAGTCGTGTCCGACTCTTCATGACCCCATGGACCAGAGCATGCCAGGCACTCCTGTCCTCCACTGCCTTACGCAGTTTCGTCAAATTCATGCTGGTAGCTTCGAGAACACTGTCCAACCATCTCGTCCTCTGTCGTTCCCTTCTCCTTGTGCCCTCAATCTTTCCCAATATCAGGGTCTTTTCCAGGGAGACTTCTCTTCTCATGAGGTGGCCAAAGTATTGGAGCCTCAGCTTCAGGATCTGTCCTTCCAGTGAGCACTCAGGGCTGATTTCCTTCAGAATGGAGAGGTTTGATCTTCTTGCAGTCCATGGGACTCTCAAGAGTCTCCTCCAGCACCATAATTCAAAAGCATCCATTCTTTGGCAATCAGCCTTCTTTATGGTCCAGCTCTCACTTCCATACATCACTACTGGGAAAACCATAGCTTTAATTATACGGACCTTTGTTGGCAAGGTGACGTCTCTGCTTTTTAAGATGCTGTCTAGGTTTGTCATTGCTTTTCTCCCAAGAAGCAGGCGTCTTTTAATTTTGTGACTGCTGTCACCATCTGCAGTGATCATGGAGCCCAAGAAAGTAAAATCTCTCACTGCCTCCATTTTGATAAATTGATAAATAGGCTACTTCAAATTCCTTTCCTGGAGAGCAACCAGCAGAATAACAACAACAAACCAGTGAATGATTAGGGGTGTGGGGCAGCAGGGCACAATATGAAGCTAAATTAATGACTGCACAGCACCTGGAGATACAGCTGAATTTGAAACCCCCACCTCACCCCCAAGTCACTTTGTGCTAACATGGCTATTTTGAATGCAAACATTATTCCACTTAGAGCCACTCCCATCCACCACCGGGATGCGTATGTAACCAAACGGCCATTCCTTAACCTCATATTTCTTCTCTAATTGCAGGTATACGTTATATGCAAATTCTACAGCATGCCAGTGCAGTAAGTGAAAGCCCACATCAATACCCTCAAACCAAATTCTCATGCAAATAAACTCCATTATAAGAGCGTGGAAGTCTGTACAAATCATGCTGCTGTCAGCAGCAACTACCCTAAAATCAATATTGCTCGAGCCAATCGATATTTATCTTTATTATGGCCAAATATATCCCAAAATAAAGCAAGGGAAACATGCAAAGAAAATGGGTATCTGATTTTTGCCAGCTTCTCAATCCATGCGTCAATTAGATTGGAAGAGCGGTTCTGTATCTGCTCGTTTTAGCCAGAGCATCTGAACATGATGATGTAATCCTGAGATTGGTGTGCAAAAGCTCTAAGAGGCAGCTTGAAAGCTCAAGTACACCACACAGGAAATGACTGTTTACTAATGTTCAACAAGGTGCACAAAAACTATGTGACCTACTTGCGCTAGATTCTAAAGAATCTAGCTATGGAAGCATTCAGTGATGTCCTGCAATTGGTATAGCTCTAAGGGCAAATTTATAATCCATTAAAGACCTTTTTTTCCCCTTACTTTACAGACTCAAAACAGAAATAGATAGTTGCAATACAGTAGTTTCTGTTCTGCTTCTCCCTTCCTTCAAATTGGAGCAGGGGAACAACAGACCCTCCAGATGTTGTTGAATTCCCACCCTCCTTAACCCAGCTGGAAGGGCACAGCTTTCTCGCCCCTGATTTAAGTAGTGGAGCTGCTTGATTAGTACTTTTGCTAGATTTGGTTTCATGCTTGGTTTTGGAACAAATCCAGAATGGCAGTCAAGTCATGTGCTTGCTCAGAAGTGCAGGGAATGGTAGACCAGTTGAGGACTTGCTCTGTTGCACCTCATAAAGTTCTGGACTTCTTCCCCACAGAGGTGTATCTTGCTGCTTCATGGTATAACTTTGGGCATAGGCTGAAGAAACCCCTCTTTACCCTTGTCTTTGATGATAGATAGATGATATAGATGATAGATAGATAGATAGATGATAGATAGATAGATGACAGATGATAGATGATAGAGATAGATGATAGATAGATAGATAGATAGATGATAGATAGATAGATAGATAGATAGATAGATAGATAGATAGATGATAGATAGATAGATAGATAGATAGATAGATAGATAGATAGATAGATAGATGATAGATAGATAGATGATAGATAGATAGATGATAGATATTTAGGACTCACACTAGTCTTCTGATTGTAATTTTTTAAATTTGATTTTAGTACGGTGGTACCTCAGTTTACAAACTTAATCCATTCCGGAAGTCTGTTCTTAGAACAAAACTATTCTTAAACCGAGTTGCGTTTTCCCTAATGAGGCCTCCCACCGCTGGTACCCTTCCACCGTTCGGATTCCATTCTTAGACCGAGGTAAAGTTCTCAAACCAAATCGTTCTTAAACTGGACGGGATTTAAAACCGAGGTACCACTGTATTGATTTTTCATATTGTTGTCATTGCAGATATTAATATATCTTGAAGCAACTGGGTGCATAAAAACTGGCCATTAATCAATCAATCAGTTTATTGTGGTCCACCAGCAGACCCCTTTTGGAATGAAATATTGTCCAGACCCACGGGATATTATTCAAAACTTTACTTGCAGAACTTTCTTCAAAACAGAACAAAAGCATCAAAGATACATCCAAATAATGCCATACAATATCTTCTGCTGTCCAGCACAGGCTCAGCATCTTAGAAATAAACGTACTTCCAAACAGACCTATAAGCAAAGGTCTCTCTCTCTCCTTACAGCCTCCATTTTTCCTGGAGCTGTGTCACTCTCTTCAGGAGAGTCATTTACACATCCTTATTCCCACAGAGCCTGGGAACAAAGATTTAACCACCACCCTTCCAGGAAGGTAAATTTGCAATTCAATAGCTCGTATGCTCTTATGCAATCCAATGTTAAACACTCGCCTGTTAGCTACTAGAGAATAACAACAGTTAATCATCAACCCATCTAGGAGCTCAGAGAGCCCTTTCTGCTGTTCTTTAGCTTCAATGGAATATTCTGGTTAAAACCCTTCAGTGATACACATAGCCGTTCTCTATTTCAGTCTCAGTTGAACAATTATACAGTTGTGATCCACCCTGGAATCTTATGATGAGTAAGAAATTCAGGAAATAATAAAATAACATTCACCCAAGAATGCTTCTGCGTGCACAATTTCTATGAGCAAACGGACACAGCAAATCTTTCTGGCAGCAAACATCCCCTCAGTGTTAAGAAGCAAGTATGCATGCCGAACAACACTTCTGCTTCCATGTTCCCTGTACTGTTTGCGTCAAAAGATGTTAATATTCTTGAATTAAGAGTGATGGGCTCTCTCTTCATTTTTAACAGAATGCTGCAAGGATGTGCTTATCTGGGGTGGGGTGGGGGTTGTGTGTCGTGTCTGTGTGCTTTTCGAAAACAAAGTGGATTACTGCAGGGCCTTTTTTCAGCCAGAACTCGCCAGAATTCTGTTGTGGCACCTCTCAAGTGTGCGCCATTGCTATTCTAAGAGAACGAGGGAAGTGTTCGTGGTGAGTTCTGGCACCCGTTTTCCTAGAAAGCTAGCACTGGATGGGTGGCTGATTTGCCATATTTCACTCCTTTATGGGTATTAGGTATCTTGCATTGGCTGGTACTTGCTCCCCACTCCTGCCATAAAATCAAAGGGCAGAGTTTGCATGCTGGGTGAACTCAGCAAAATACCACTACATTATTATATAACTCCCCGTGTTTAAGAGAGCTTTCTTTGCATGCTTGGGAAAGTACCCATAAAGGATAATATGATAATGCACATCAAATATTAATGTGCATTGACACCTAATCTTCTGTGTACATCAGGGCATTACAGCATGAACGAACATGGGTAGGCGCTTTGGACTGGACTATTTGGGGGCGGGGAGAAACCTTTCATCATCCCCCCCCCTTTGTCTGCCTGCGCACAAAATATACGGAAATAAAGTATCCTCCCACACACATCCCCATCAGCTTATACATTTCGCTGAAGTCATGCCCTAGTAGTAAAATGACTGGTGCCTTGATGACGGCCTATTTAGCCGCAATAAAAAGCCGATTGGCTTAATGTGCAATCAAAAAAGGGGTGACATTTATTGCTTCAGTTTTATGACGCCGTGAACCGAGTGAGTTTTTGAGCCTTACAGTGCCTTCAGGGGGCACGGGGATCACCAGCAATGCATCTTATTTATACCATTTCCAATTTCCAACTAGCATTTTAGCAATAAATAGATTGTGTTGGTATTGAGTTTCATGTAAGTATGTTTAAGAAAGCAAGAGCACGATTTTGTAGGTCAGAAATCTGGGCGCGGGCGAGACGGATCAGTAGAGATGTTAACACTCTGCTTAGCCTCTCTGCTTCCCAGCTGCTGCAAATAGCCAATTCGCATCTACATACCCTTTGCCTTGTCCTTCTGTGCCTCCTGCCAATCTAAATGTTGTACAATGCTCGGATATCACTAACAACCACAATGCCATTCACAAATATAAAGAAACTAGCTCAGGGGGGACTGGCAAAGTCGGCAAGCTGTATTAAGGACCTTCTTCCCCTTTCACCTGTTGTGGCAGTAAGGGGGGAGAATGAGGAGGTCCTCTCTGCTCCACCTTCCACCTCTCAGGTCACTGCTGGTACTCAGGAGAGCCTGTGTGGTGTAGTGGTTAAGAGCGATAGACTCGTAATCTGGTGAACCGGGTTCGCTTCCCCGCTCCTCCACATGCAGCTGCTGGGTGACCTTGGGCTAGTCACACTTCTTTGAAGTCTCTCAGCCCCACTCACCTCACAGAGTGTTTGTTGTGGGGGAGGAAGGGAAGGGAGAATGTTAGTCACTTTGAGACTCCTTCAGGTAGTGATAAAGCAGGATATCAAATCCAAACTCTTCTTCTTCTTCTTCTTCTTCTTCTTCTTCTTCTTCTTCAGGAAGCAAGGTAAAGAAGCAAAGAACAGGGTTTGCCTTCAGTGCACTTAGCAATGTGTCACTCTTTCCAATTTATGCATAGCTCTCCCTTGTATTTTGGTCACATTGAATTCTTATCATTATCATTATCATCATCATCATTATGCCCTGCTCATCTGGCTGGGCTGCCCCAATCACTCTGGGCAGCTTCCAACAGATAAATAATAATAAAATATTGAACATTAAAAACTTCCCGATACTGGGCTGCCTTCAGATGTTGTCTAAAAGTTCTGTAGTTCTTTATCTCCTTGACATCTGATGGGAGAGCGCCACTGCTGAGAAGGCCCTCTGCCTGGTTCCCTATAACTTCACTTCTCTCAGTGAGGGAACCGCCAAAAGGCTCTCAGAGCTGGACCTCAGTGTCCAGGCTGAACGACGGGGTGGTGTATGTATTGGGCCCCCAATGAAATCACTTAACATCTTAACAACCTTAAACCCCTATGTATCTCACATAGGTTCATACACAAGCAATTCCAGATTGTGAGTCTGAGCTTTGTGAGGCATATTTTAAAATTCTCCTTTGCTATTTGGAATCCCAAAATTCTCTCATACCTGTGGTGATAGATAGATGATAGATAGATGATAGATAGATAGATGATAGATAGATAGATAGATGATAGATAGATATAGATGATAGATAGATAGATAGATAGATAGATAGATAGATAGATAGATGATAGATAGATAGATAGATGATAGATAGATAGATAGATAGATAGATAGATAGATGATAGATAGATGATAGAGATATAGACAGATGAGAGGGAGAGAATATAGGTACAGTGGTACCTCGGGTTAAGAACTTAATTCATTCTGGAGGTCCATTGTTAACCTGAAACTGTTCTTAACCTGAGGTACCACTTTAGCTAATGGGGCCTCCCGCTGCCACCGCACTGCCAGAGCACGATTTCTTTTTTTTTTTTTTATAAAATATTTATTGGTTTTACAAAAAAAATTTCCAAAGAAAATACAAAATTACAAAAGTTCAACAAACAAAAAACAACAATAACCATGACAAAAAACAAACAGAAATAACAGTATCCATAACAAAAAAAGAAAAAGAAAAAAAGGGAAAAGAGACAAAGAAATTCAAAAAATATTATACTTTCATTTATCCTTCTTATCTTTACCTGGTTCTTTGACTTCCCCGCACCTCCCCGCTTGTATTTCCATTTAAAAACTCCTTTCAGCAAATCCTTACCCTCCTTTCATTATCTTAACTCAGAAAACTTAATCTATTTATATATAAATATTTTTACAACCTTATCAGTCAAATATTCCATACTCTTAATCCCAAGGCTTTGCCAATACCAGTTATTTTCAATCAGACTTCAATTTAACATTCATTGATTTTATAGTATTTCTGTAAATAGACTTTAAATTTCTTCCAATCTTCTTCCACCGACTCTTCTCCCTGGTCACGGATTCTGCCAGTCATCACCAGAGCACGATTTCTGTTCTCATCCTGAAGCAAAGTTCTTAACCTGAGGTGCTATTTCTTGGTTAGCGGAGTCTGTAACCTGAAGCGTCTGTAACCTGAAGCGTCTGTAACCCGAGCAAGAAAGAAAGAAAGAAAGAAAGAAAGAAAGAAAGAAAGAAAGAAAGAAAATGAGGTACTGTTATTAGAGGCATGGGAATATTCCACCATTGCTCTAAGGAGTGGTGTACATTTCAAGCTGGGAAGGTAGCCCATCTAAGAGAAGAAAAACTCTGATCCTAAACTTCCACTGCCTTGTGGGATACCTTTGGAAGAAGAAAAAGCCAAGGAGTAAACCCAACACAAGTCCCTTAAGACACTTGGTTGGTGCCTTGTACACCTCCTTCCATCAACTCCTGCAGCCAAGCTGTTGACAAATGTATTGCTCTGCTTTCCTTTGGACCACATCAGTGAGGCCAAGAGGGGAGTCTTGCCACCTGGGCAGCCCTGGACCTCCATACACACTGCCTGGACTTGTTCCCCAAGGAGGTCACTTTGGTGTTACTAATGCTGTGGTTTGGCTTCACCTCCGGAGGTTCACTCTATTGTCTCTCAAGACAGACAGATTCCTACAGGTGTACATTACACACGCATCATTATCAAAACCGCAACCTTGAGAGGTCGTTTCAGTTACCTTCATGGTTGATGGTTGAGCAGGGGAATTGAACCTGGGTTTTCTTGATCTGAAGCTATAACCACTATACCACACTGGCTGTCGCATAACGTGAACCACAAAGCAAATTACTGCGCCAAAGGATCAGAACCACGAAGAAATAACAGCACATAAAGATCTTAACAAAACAAGAATGTCAACCGGTTATGACTCTTGAGGGACTAGATCAAATCAGTATGATCCTTAGACCGCATTTGCTCAGACAGGATAATAACTATGTTGTTGCATTTCCTGAGTGCTGTCCTTCACAGTGACATTGCTGGTTTATAATCCATGCAGCACTCATATTCATGCATGATTCCTCTATTAACCGGTTTAACTTGTTTTACGGCAGTAACTGGGTCTCTGCTGTGTCCATTGTCTTGCTTTCTGAGTAAGCATTTTCACATGAGACAAGAGATCCTAAAGAAAACCATAGACCATTGCTTATGACAGGGGTAGCACAAGCGGTGGTCTCTGGTTGCTGATGGAACCCGGAGTCCATCAACCCCAGTCAACATGATGAAAGTTGCAGTTTAACATCGGCAGAAAACCACATTGGGTGCCGTGCCCCAGGATTAGAACAGCAAAGCAGTCCTAATCTCATGATCTCTGACACAACATCCTCCTCTCTGGTCCCTCAAGCTACCCTGCTACATCTTGGTACTGGAGAATGCTGCTGGGTCACCATCAGTGAAGTAAGATACAACTACCAGTACATTGGGCCTCCGGACCCTCCCAGGGGCAGTCCTGGATTTACAGAAACCGTCCCAGTTTCTGATTTGATCCCAGAATGTCCTGCTTTTCCTTAAAGGTAAAGGGACCCCTGACCATTAGATCCAGTTGTGGCCAACTCTGGGGTTGTGGCGCTCATCTCGCTTTATTGGCCGAGGGATCCGGCGTACGGCTTCCGGATCATGTGGCCAGCATGACTAAGCCACTTCTGGTGAACCAGAGCAGCGCACGGAAACGCTGTTTACCTTCCCACTGGAGCGATACCTATTTATCTACTTGCACTTTGACGTGCTTTCGAACTGCTAGGTTTGCAGGAGCAGGGACTGAGCAAAAGGAGTTCACCCCGTCGCGGGGATTCGAACCGACAACCTTCTGATCAGTAAGTCCTAGGCTCTGTGGTTTAACCCACAGTGCCACCCGCATCCCGCTTCTACTTAGGACGTTCCTATTTTCATCGGAGAAATGTCAGAGGGTATGGAGTTATCCGACCCTCTAGCCAAGGAGATAAGTAACTATGCAACCTTTAGAAGACATATAAAGGCAGCCATGTATGTGGAAGTTTGTGAATGTTTAATGTTTTATTATGTTTTTGTATTTGTTTGAAACTGCCCAGAGTGGCTGGGACAACCTAATCAGATGGGTGTGATATAAATAATAAAACTATTATTGTTATTATGGAGTAGGGTGTCGCAATCAGAGAAATGTTGGATGGTATGCAATTTAAGAACATGAGACATGGGCTGAAGACTGGCTAGAATCAAGGAGAGCCTTGAATGGAGAAACAATATTTTTAAAGTTTGATGTTTTATTATGCTTTAATATGTGCTAGAAGTTGCTCAGAGTGGCTGGGGAAACCCAGCCAGATGGGTGGAGAATAATAATGATGTGATAACAAGGAGGCGTTGGAGGCTGGCCTGTTTGGGGAAAGGTGCATTGCTCTTCCAACCTCAGTTTCCCTCACCTGCTTACATACCACCAGTCTGTGTAGTGGCCCTGCCTGTCATCTTCCTCCCCCTCAGCCTCCGTTTTAACTTTCTAAAAAACCCAGCAGGGAAGAAGATAGGAGCAAAACTAGAATTGGTTAGCTCTAGACATCACCTTGCCAACAAAGGTCCTTGAAGTGAGAGCTGGACCATAAAGAAGGCTGATCATCGAAGAATGGATGCTTTTGAATTATGGTGCTGGAGGAGACTCTTGAGAGTCCCATGGACTGCAAGAAGATCAAACCTATCCATTCTGAAGGAAATCAGCCCTGAGTGCTCACTGGAAGGACAGATCCTGAAGCTGAGACTCCAATACTTTGGCCACCTCATGAGAAGAGAAGACCCCCTGGAAAAGACCCTGATGTTGGGAAAGATGGAGGGCACAAGGAGAAGGGGACAACAGAGGACGAGATGGTTGGACAGTGTTCTCGAAGCTACCAACTTGAGTTTGACCAAATTGCGGGAGGCAGTGGAAGACAGGAGTGCCTGGCGTGCTCTGGTCCATGGGGTCACAAAGAGTCGGACACGACTAAACAACTAAACAACAACAACAAATCATTGGTCTAGGGCCGTCTTAACCATAGGAGTTAGGGGTGCGGGGCACCTGGGCACCAGGCTCTCAGGGTGCCAGGCCGAGAATCCGGGGCCCAAGAGTTGGAGTCTGGGGAAGAGCCCGCTCATTGGAGCACCGCAGCAGGCTCTTCTGCGAGTTTGGGGGCAAGCGAGCTAGCGAGGTGCTGAGGTGGCCGTCCGACCCTGTGTGCCTAGGATTGGTGTAGGGTTGTGGAGAGGCCCGCCCAGAGTGTGCTGCCCACCCAACGAGGCGCCTGGTCTAGCACCACTGCCTCGCGTTCCTCTGTGCCCTGCTTCGCCCTGCTTTCATGCCTCGACGGCTGACCCAGAAAGCCCCCC